GATTTTCTCTTTCATTAATTCTCAACATTAATGTCACACAGTCCATCACTGAACTGCATTAACATCTGCTTCCTCATAACCACCGCCTTATCTTAGTCTTAAAGGATGAGAATGAACATCAGTTCAGTGGCAGCTCTTAAAATAGCAAGAGCATTTATCTTATACCTTATCTCAAACTATCCTCTACATTACTCTCAGCTTCTTCTTATTCATACATACAATTAATTACATTAATAGTGAGGTTGCCTATAAACAATTTTAAATGGAGAGTCATTTTACTTGTGTTTTTAAAATGATAAGTTAAAATGAATTGAAGAACTTCTGTGTTTATACAGAAAATATTTATTTCCACTGAGTATGCACTCAGCAAGGAAACTTAGCTTGCGGGTAGCATCAGTGCGTCCACACTAAGCGCTCTCTCACACTTTGTTCTGAACTTGATTATTTCGTTTTTTAACAGAATGAGCCTACCATGATACACTTGGAGACAGTCACAGAATCATAAAATGTGTTAACTAGGTTCACAGATTTACTTCCCTGAATTTTTATAATTACTATTTATGAGTTTGTTTTCTGTTTTTCTTGTTTTTTTTTTTACTTATTTGATGTACTGGGGGTGGAATGCAGAACCTTTGCATCCCCATCCCTTTTATCAAAATTGTTATTTTGTTGGACTCAAATTGGAAAACTCCTTCCTCCGCCTCCCAGAGTGCTGGGATTACAGGGATGAGCGGCCACACTCAGCTTGTTTTTGATAATTCTAATCAAGATTCTTTCATGCTTTTTCTGCTACTCTGGCAGAAAGCTTCATATAATAGCTTATTTAAGCATATTCTCTTCATAACATGTTTTCCTTTTAATATTTTGGTAAAAATAATGTCTGTTCTGGAAGATAAAGGAAAATGCTTTCTATATCATAAATTGAACAATGATATGCATATATTTCATCTTTACTTTCATACTTCCTATTTTCCATGCAGTTATTTTTGCTGCTTTTACTTGCCTACACATATCAAATGAAGTACTTATTCAATAGTTAATATTTTTTATTTTCCTGCTATCTCTTCTTTAAATTTTTCCTAAGCTATAAATATTTTAGGATCCTTATGGGAAAACCCGTTAGATACTGTGATTTATGTTCTGTTTTCTCAAAGACATGCAGTGGTCTGAACTTTTCTGCAGCAGATCCCTAGAGACAACTTTTAGACTCATGAGATTTAACACATTTTTCTTCAACACATCATAATACCTAAATTTCATTGCTCACACAGATTTGAAATGTACAGTCTTGTAGTGCAGAGAATCACTGGCCCGTTATTTTTATTGTACTCTTTAAGTAGCTCATACTTACTAAATCCTAGCTAGATTTTTCTTTCTTGAAAAAAAGTGCCATCTCCTACAAAAACACCAAAGCTATTTAAATTGCACTAAAATTATCTTTATTCCATTGCTAGTAATGTATTGCTGTAGTGTTTTTCTGACAGATTGTAATAAGTTGCAATTTACAACAACCAACATACATTAAATGTTGGATTATAGCCGTTTTGCAAGTACTTTAACAGTGTGCAAGATATTAGGCTTTTAACTACTATGTGGTAAGTAGTCATAATTTCCCCAAAAGAGAGGTACAAAGGTGAAGATATGTTAAATGCTAGGTAAATTCTGACACCTATGTGAAACTTATGCACATCTGAACCGCTGAAAACCCAAAATAAAAATAAAATTGATAACATGTTACTGGGGTCAGAATTGCAAGTTGTACATTTTTCATATATTTAAATATTTTGCATCTCTGTGTACTGAATACAGATCATGTATCTCCCAAATCAGTCAAAGATATTGCCTAAGGGAAGATGCCATCTTTCAAACTTTCCTGCAGTACAAAACACCAGTAATTTGGGAATAGAGTAGAACAATATCTCAGAAAAATAAAATTTAAAGCCAAGTATTGTCTGTTTGTGCAGATGAATGACAAAAGAAACTGTTTATGGTAATCAGTCAAGCCAGTGAGTATATTGAAATTATCTTTGTTATCTTCATCATTACCCACTGAATCAGCAGTTTAAGTTTCCACTAACATAACCAAGGCTCAGAGAGGACAGGTAATGTGCCCCAGGGTTGTAAATAGCAAGTGGGATTTAATAAACAGTTTAAATCAAATTCGAATGAATGAGCTAAACTCATGAATTACTGTCATCATTTCCATCATAAACTACCCCACCCCTCCACTGTTGTGTCAGTCTTATGACATCAGTGAGCCCTACTCATCTCTTCTCTGGTGGGGAATTTTCTCTGTCTCTGACACTGGCATCACAGAATGTTGACTGGGTGGTTTATGTCATTCTTTCCATAATCTTTGAGAGCTCCTTGAGGTTTTCTCTTGAATGTGAATGGTGTTTAATGATTCGCTCTTTTCAGTCTGAGAATGAGTGGAGGCATTTTATGCTGTCTGCAGAAGTCAGATTTATCACATCTGCTGCTGTCCTGGGACCCGCCTTCTTGGCTATTAAGGGCAATGCCAGTTGGCTCCTGTAATCAGTCATGCATTGTGTATGCTGAGCATCCTTCTTACTGTTGGGCCTGGCCATATTTCCCACAGTCGGAAATTTATTCACGTCCGCCTGCACCCCAGCAGCAAATAGTTTGTCTCTTTGATATGTTATTGGCTTCTAGAAGCCTGACAGTTTTTCCTATGCAGTTTTAATACATACTGATGAGTTTCCTGAACTATTATTACTCTCAAAAATCCTTGCAGTACTCCAAATGCATTTCATCTTAATTACCAGTTTTCAATATGTGGTCGCTGGACTACTAGAGGTTTTTCAGGGTTCCCAAAGGGCTTAGTGAGATTTCTTTTTTAAAAATTAATACGGCTTAGTAGTGAAAATGGTATTTTTAGCAGTGATAAAATAGTGAAATCTCTCTACAGAATTAAATTTATTTGACTGGATTAAGATCATGATAATTCACGCTGATGACCTAGTTAAATTAATACTTATTGAAATTGCTAGTCAAGAATTATGAATAGCACTGACTTTAAAATTTAATGCATTTACTAAATTATTATGCAAAAGCCTAAATTTCAGAGTCCAGTAAAAAGGGTAATTTAAGGGCTGCTTAAAGTTGATCAGGTTCAGATCACTGTTTTATACATGGCAATAACTATGATTATGAAGATATCATGATAATGCAATCAGCTATCATAGAGTACCTACTTTAATCATGTAATACACTGTCTTTTCAGACTTCTAACTTTTCCAAAATACTTAACACTGCTGCCTTTCATAGATACCAAAATTAGTTTAAAAAAAGAACTAACACACAGTTTCAACACTGGTTAGATTTATCTTTTTTTCTGTTTTTTGTTGGTAGTACAAAATGTTTATATTCCTTGTGTGGAGTTGGTACACATGCATAACACATCTTAATGTTTATTCCATTCCCTATCTGTCCCTCCCTCCCCCTCTCTCTGTCTCTTTATCCCCTTCCAATTTTGAAGAGTTTACCTAATTAAGTCAGCTTATGTGCTAGATTTTCTAATGATATAAGAAAGTCAAGCAGGCAATTGTCATTCTCTACAATGTACACTGAAATGCATAATATAAACAAATCAGTATTTTTGATCTATATCCACATGCCCTTCTGTATTATTTTAATTGTATTGAGCATCAAGCATATGAGAAAACTGCTTTCTGATCAACAGCATGGAAATGGAGCCACAGCCTCGTTACTTGTGGAGGGCAAGCTTGAGTGTAAGGCCCATAACTGGACAGTCACTATTCATGAAAGATTAACATACTCTTCCATTTCCCTAAATACAGTTGCATATCCCATCAGCCCAATCATCTTGTATTGTGTTACTCCAATACTCACCAAATGGGACATGTTGTCTCTTAACTTTCTTCTTTTTAATCCATACCTATCTGACTTCTGGAGTATTTGTATAGGTGTCTTTTGCCCTAAATCTTATTCTCCAGTAGGTTTTCAATCCTAATAAATGGAGTTTTAGGGATATTGATTTAATCTTGCTCACTGAACACATTATGATCTAGGAAGTGACTTCCATCATTTTCCTAACCACATTACAATTGCAGAGAATTCTTTTCTTTTGCATTTTTTCTATTTATTCTTCCATTAGTTTAGTTTTGAAGTTTTATTCCAATTTTTCCCATTTGACATCATCTCCTAATCAGCCTGTCAAATAATTCATAGTCTGTTAACAAGTTCCTAAGTGCTACTAGTTACACAAAAGAGGCCCTCTGTTACAGACGCATTTCACATTGAGATGCTATAAATAAGTTGTTGTGCAAGTAATTACTCCTTAATGTATGTGTTTTATAATTAGACTTGATAATCTGAACTGCTTTTTGGTAAAATCTGGGTCTAGTTTGGAGAAAATGAGCAAAAACTATCATCAAGGTGATGAAAGTTTATTTTACAAACCTCTCTGTGAAATATAGGAGTCTAAATAACACTGCTGACATTCAAAGTCCTCCTCCAAGGCAAAGATATTTTGCTTAGGTTTTAGGATCAAGCACTGGGGTTTGTTTTGGCTCTGCTTCACTGTTCTACATCCAAATTTTCAGCAGTTCCATCTCTATGAATTATAAACATTGAGCCCAGATGATAAGACAGGATTACACAAAATGTAGCAATGAAAACCCAATCATTCTTCATACCTAATGCAATGCTTTTTGCATAAAACATAGTTCATCAGGCTTGAACAAAAAAGGCAAAAAGACAAGAAAAATATCTATTCCAAAAAGTCTGATATTGGAAGACACACAAGAGGGCTGAGTCACGCAGGTCTCTGTGAGTCTTATGGAAAAGCATTGAGCCATATGACACATTGTGATTCTCTGTTGCACTAAGGCGCAGCTACCAGCAACAAAGTTTTTCCCTTGGAAGAAATAACCCTGACAGCCTGGATGACAGTGAATAGCTTACTTATAAGCCAGGCAAGAGCATCTACAGCAGCAGATATAAATTATTACTTCCCAGAAGACATTTGTGAAATATCTACTGTAACTCACAGCTTGACCACCTTGTGTCAAATATCCTGCCAGCAGGATCCAGTAGAAATCAGGTGAGTTGGGGGCCAGTCCTGGTCCTGCTATATGCTACTTACTTTTGTTTTAAAATTTGTTATATTAAAGAATAGGATATAAGTAGGTGATCTCCATGATCCTTTTATTGTATGATTCTAACAGCTCTGTAACATTCGTATATATATGATACTAAACTAAACCCTAGCTATTACAGGAGCAGTCCTTAACATGAAAATCCCAAACTGCAGATGTTTCATAAACTAATGAACAATGAGTTATAATAATATAAATTTTTACAGTGACTATTTTAGTCTACAAATTAATAAATAAAGTCATCTAATAATCTTAATATAATTTTTGGCAGTTACTCAAGCCAAGGTTTAATAAATTTTCTTCCAGTAGAGCAGAAGCAGATTGATTTGGAAGTTGGCAGGGTCTGTAATGTAGCTATCCTAGTCCATGAATCAAATGAATTCATAAGATCCCTCTGCTCATGTAAAAGATAATACATCCCTCCTAGTTACTATTAAAAAACATCTAAGGATCCTTAACTATGACATGCAATTCTTTGCAGTGTTATCAGCTTCTAAATAGAGATAGGTACACATTAAATAATAATCACATTTATTTTTTATTGCATCTTCTGTTCATGTGTGAGGTACTTCGAGTTGAAAATCTTCAACTCAAAAACATTTCGCTAAGACCCCTGAGATTTTCTACCCAAATTTACATCTTTATTAGTTTCAACCTCTCATTTTTTGATTTACACAATTTTTCAGTGTCCCATAAATCCTTAAATTCCTGGATCTTTATACATTTTAGTATGCATTGCCTTATATCCTGCTCATAATCTCTATCAGCCAAAGAATAGTTGTATATATTTAGCTTTGACAGTCACTTTAATAAGTCAAGGCCTTAATCACCCTCCATACTTTTTACCAGGTTGCTTCCATTTATCACTTCCTTAAGTTTTGAAGTCCAGACCTCAAATACAGCTGCAGAAGTTGAACTTTATGTTCCTGAGATTAAATGGAGAAAAACTGATAACTTCAGAAATGAAACTTGGATCAAATGTTCACTGCTTGAATCTCATTCCCTAGAATTGGGTATGAACAATATTTAGCTTTACCTCTTGAACATAAAACATCAAATTAAAAATAAAATTGCCTTTAAGTTAGCTTCATGATGAACCCATGATGAAAGAATATTGTAGAACAATGGTCACCAGGTGATGCTGAAAATATTCAAAGGCACATTTGGAAGTCACTGATACCTTCCTCCCAGTCCAAGTAGGTCCCAAAAGAGAGTTGACACAGAGTCTAGTTATTGTATTTATGGCCACCAATCATTTTTGATTACTCTTTTTTTAATTGGTAAAACCCCACATTATGAGGTCTATTTTCTCAAATCAGAATTCAGAAATCAAATATTCTGTTTTTCCTGGGGGAAAAGAAACAGAAAAAGAAAAATAGCTCTACCAATCAAGATCGACAAAAGATTTCTATTTGGAGGTAAACATTGTTGCAATAGGTTCTCCAGGCCTTAATTTGGCAATTGTAGATCTAGTTTTTGAGAAAAATTATAATAGAGTTAAATTCCTGATTCTTGGCAGCAATAGTGGAAAATAGCTGAGTTGCCAGCATTAGGTGATTATTGGTGGTAGTAAAAATGGTGCAATCTTTTTCAGATTGGGAATATTTTTCCTGGATCCTTAGCCATAAGTCAGCTTCATCCCTGACATTGATTTTAGGATCAACCTAAAATCCTTCAATAAGTAATAGCTCCACTTAGTAGCCCAAGCAGTTCCTGTGATTTGCAACTGAGATAATGGACCTAAAACCTGATCAATCTAAATAATTTTTAGTAGATAAAGAATAATGGAAATGTTGTTACTGTGAAAGAAGAAAACAAATTGTTTGAGCATGCGATAGCAGTTCTAATAAGTTCATAAAACTATCAGAAAAGCAGATTACAAGGCCCTTTACATAGTAGTTCACACTTTTGCTACCACGAATTAACCATTATACAAGAAGATGAACATCAAGCACAAAGCAGAATAACAAAAAGTAAATAACTGAATATTAAATACACTTTGTCCATGTTGCTATTAATCTTCCTTATATACATATAAGTACATGTTCTTACATATATATACATGTGCTTCTGTTTGCCTAGATAAGTCAGAAATACTAAATGAACTTATCTCCAAATCTCTGCTTTTGAAAAGACATTCTGAATTTTTTAAGAAATAATTTATTTTTATATATTATTTCATTTACATTAGTTTATACTTCTCAGTTAAGTAATCTTTTTAGTGCGTTTTATGTTTAATAGTTCATAAAAAGCTTGAGCTGACTGATAATTCAATTCATTCCACCTTGACAAGACAATTGATGAATATTTTTCTCAAACAATAGCTGACAAAATATACATCAGAAAAGATATGGACTTTGAAAAATAAACTGGCACCATTCGGTGCCTAGATCTATGCGCTTTGTTTTCAATAGTGTGTCTAAGATTGTTTGGGGCTTGAAGCAGCAAAACAAACAAGGTTAATTATCAGCTAATTCACAGTCAATAAAAGCTTGATTCTAAATATCAGTTTCCTACACTGTTTGAGGTCTTCCCTGAGTTGCTAAGACAAGTTTAAGATGTTCAGAAGTTTGGAGCAGACAAAATTTGCAATGAGAACTATCAGTACTAAAGCACATAAAGAAAGATCTACAGGAAACAAAGCTGACTTCCCCATGCAACAATTGCTGGAAAGTAAATACTGTGTGCATGTGTCCAGAGTAAAACCCCACAAAGCCCACAAAGGACCAGCAGGCTGTGAGCAGAGCAGTTCTCGGAGAAGTGCATATGAGATGCGTCTCAGTGCTAACAAGTGAGAACGGACAGCCCCTCTTGAGCACTCAGAATATTCAGTGCATCCAACTAAAAAGTCATGCCTCGCCAATGGGAGTCCACTAGCCTAGACCAAAGACCCCTCTAAATCTGTCCTAAGACTAAAATTATGCCTGAAAAGATAAATCTGATCCTGTAGTCACTGAATTTCAATAGTTACTAAGACCAGTAATTTTTACTAGTTAGCTTGCTAGGTCTGCTTCAACAAGGAACTGCAAGCTAATCTTGGTGGCTGTACAACAGAAATGAGTTGTTTCACAGCTTTGGAGTTTAGAATGTGAAGAGCAGGGTGCTGGCCCTCCTTGCAGGAGTTATAAGGAAAGGCTGTTCTCCAGGCCTCTCTACTGGACTCACAGATGCTCATCTTCATTTCCCATGGCGTCCCCTCTCTATGCCTATCCTGGGCCAAATGTCCCCCTTTCATAAGGACATGAACTATATTATATTAGTGGCCAACACTACTCCAGTATGAGCTCATTTTATGTAGTTATATTTATGGTGACTATATTTACAAATTAGGCTCATTCTGAAGAATTAGAATGTCAGCATGCAAATTGACAAGAAGAGACACAATGCTGCTGACAGTGTGCATAAAAGTGCACTTTCAAATATGCAAAATGCACAACTTTAGCAGAAAACCAAAACTGGCAGATGTAAAATAAATAGAAAAGTGTCATCAAGCACATCAATAGAAATGTAGCAGAAAATAACTGAGATGATTAAAGGAACAGAAAGAAAGGATTTAAAGAGTTGTAATAAATATGCTCCTAGGGCCAGGGATATAGCTCAGCGGCAAAAGCACCTACCTGGCAAGCTCAAGGTCCTGAGTTCAATTCCTGGTACAATAAATAAATAAATATACTCCTGAATTTAAAAGAATAATCTTGATGAAAAATCTAAACTACAAGTTGGTACTAAATAGAAATACTGCCAGGCGTGGTGGCATAAGCTTGCAATCCCAGGACTCAGGAGGCTGAGGAAGAAGGATCAGTTCAAGCTCAAGGCCAGCCTGGACTACATAGTCAGTTCAAAGCTAGCCTGAAATACATAGTGAGATTCTAAATAAATAAATATACAAATATATAAATAAATGTCTTTAATTGAAAAATAAATACACTTAATTAAAAACTCACTAAATGAGATCAATAGAAGACTACAGAAGATCAAAATACACAGACATAGCATCAGAATCTAAAATGAATCATAGACAAGAAAAGATAATGGGGGAAAAACTATGCACAGTGACTTGTGAAAGAAATGAAGTAATCTCAAGTACATACACCCAGTACCAGAGAAAAACCAAAAAAAAATTAAAAAAAAAAAAATAAAGTACATACAATTGGAAATACAAGAGCAGTGAGACAAATGGAAAGAAAACATTACTTTGAAAAGTCATAGCTGTGAGTTTTGCATATATGATAAAAACTATAACATGACAAACCCACAGCTCAGTGAATCAGAGCAAAATCACACAGAAGTTTATCATGAAGAACTTCTGAAAACCATTGATAAAGAAAAAACTTGAGAAAATCCAGTGGAGGTGAGGAGGATATTTATGCAGGGAATCAAATATAAGAATAACTACAGACTTTAAATCTGTACATATACAAATCAGAGGATAATAGAATGGTATGTACAGAGTATTAAATGAAGGGGTGAGAACCCCATTACTCACTATTTGATATATGTCAAAAATTTCTCTCAATAATTAAAGGAAAATTAAGTGCAATAGCTTGAGGGCTTATTACCAGAACACTTGCATGAGAAGAATTTTTTTTTAAGTCTGTTAGGCAAAAAATAATGTCAGACAATAGTTTGAATCTACATAATTAGATATAGCTATCCAAAAATAGTACACAGAAAAATACATATAGCATATTTTTTTCATTAACTTCCTTAAAAGATAACTAAGTAAAAAATAATAACTACTAAATAATAATTACTATTTACACATTTATAAATGTGAAAAAGTAAAATGAATGAAAGAAATGGGACAATTGAGAAGAGAGAATGGAATTGTAATATCTTAAGGCTCTTACACTATTAGAAAATGGTATTGTTATTTGTAGACAAGATAATGAAATAAATATTTTAAAAGGCACATGATTCAGTAGCTATCTCACCAAAAATGAAC